AATTTGTTGTTCCACTTATTTATGCATTGATTCTCACATGTGCCCTGACTGGGGATCAAACCTGTAACCTTGGCTTATCTGGATGAGGCTCTAACCAACTGAGCTACCTGACCAGGGCCCATCATGCTATTTTTTTCATGTCTTAGCATTCTTCCTTCTACCTGGCCTCCTCACTGATCTTGTATCCTCAGTCGTCCCTGAAGGTCTTGCTCAGATGTTACCTCCTCTTTGAAGTGGTACCTCCACAACATGTGAAGGTTGATTAAATTGTTCCTTCCTCTCTGTACCCATATTATTTGTGTGTGTGTGTGTGTGTGTGTACGAGCCACTGTATCACTCAGAATTGGAGGTTTACTTATATGTGTGATCTATACAATTTTGAGCACAGCAAGCAATATCCCCTCCCTGTCTCATGACCTAAATAGATGTTTCTCAAACTGAATGGTCCAAAACTCCCTGAATAATCAAAAAACAATGCCAATTCTGGAACACAGGACTCTAGACATTCCATCCATCATTATTTAGGTTTCTACATGACTGCAACTAGATCAAACATTAAATATGTCAGTGTCAGATACACAGGTATGCATGGTGATAGTGTGTGCTGGAAGAAACCGTCTTGAATTATTACAGACAAAATGAGGGGGTAAGAGCTGATAGGGCCACAGGGAAGGGAGACTGGAGCTAGAAAGATGTTTGGTAAGGTGTTGGAGCAGACTCCTTCAGGAGTTTGCATAGAACCAACTTTATAATTTTTTCTAGGAAACAAGAAAAAAATAAGGAGAAATATTTGGTAGTAGGCTTAAGTGAAGGACACATACATCAAGAACTGAAGTCTGAAATGACTCACTGAAGCTGAAATTTGGTTTAAAAAAAAGAACTTACATTTGCATCGTGCAGAACATCATCATTTACATGATCTCATCTAATTCTTAGAATAACCATGTGGCAGGGGTTGGGTTGGGGCTGGGACAGAAGTGGAGTGGTGTGAGTGAGTATGCGTGTGTGCACACTGTCATTGCAGTTGTTTCTTTACAGAGGAGGCGACTAGGGCTCAGAGAGGAGAAACGATATGTCAAACACACACTGTCCTGACACTGAACTAAAAGGCAGGCCTGCCTGCCTCAGGTCCAGAGCCACATTCACTCTATTTCAGAACAGGAGGCAGCGCCTCTGCTCTGAAAGCTGAAGGCCTTTATAAAGTCAAATAGGATGACATGTAGAGGTCGTTCTGAGTCATGACTCAGAGGGACTCTCCACAAACTCAAGACTTTTCTAGACGGTTGTAAAAATGAAGATAGAAAACCATTAGTCAGCCAACTTGCAGGGAGTAGCTGATACAGAGCAATTCTCCGCTTGAATTGGGCAAAAGTGTGACGTGACTAAAGAATCTGGGGCAGGACAGAAGAGCAGAGAATTTCTTTTTTTTTAAATTTGCCTGCGGCTCTGGGGGCTCTATAGGACAGCGAATGAGTCCTCGGCTGCTGCACTGTTTGGTCTGCTTAGAATGAAGAAAAAGTGTCGGGAAGGTGGAGAGGAAGAGCGGGGACCACAAGAGGTCACTCAGCTGGTCCTCTCCCTCTTAGATTTATCCATGAAACTTGGAAACTATGGGACTTTAGAATAAAAATCCACTGGCCAAAAAGAAAAACAAACAAACAAACAAACAAACAAACACACCACTCTGCATATGATTCCTTCTGATTCCTTCCATGTAGCATCTTTGGTACGCATTTCCTGTCACCTGGGGGCACAGAGTTGGTTTAAATAACTTCGTATTCCACTGTCTAGTGCTCTGAATATATACAACAAATTTCAGAAAATGACAGTAACTATTTCAGGTTTATCAAAAACATCTTTTAAATAATTCCACAGAGCAGATTTCTTGATTTCTTTTCCCTCTTCTTCAAAAGTTACCTAGATAGGTTTTTTTTTAATCCTCACTCATTTATTTATACTAATATTTATCGGACCCACGGTGGGCTAGGTGATGCTACATGTTAGGCCCTATGCTAGTACCCAAAAGTAAACCAGAGCCAGCCCACCCTCACAGAGGTGAGAGTTTAAGGTGACATGGACATGGAAAGAGACCATAGAGACTAATTCAACTACCTCACTTTAACAATGAGAAAAAGAAGGCCCAGAGAAGGGTAGCATCTCACTGAAAGTCACACTGTGAGTCCTTGGAAAAGCCAGATAAAGAAAATAGTTCTACTTTTCAATTAAGATTCTGATCTGAATTTATCCAGGAGACCAAAAAAAGCATTATCTTCCTTCCCTCCTTTCCCACCTCAGTAAATCTCTTTCTTGGCTTCTTGATTACTAGAGAAAGTAAATGTTTTCCTACCCTGTCTTTTCTGGAACTAAGCATGCTCTGTTAGTAATAACCAGTTTCCTCATTCTCTGGAACTCTGTCTTCTCTATCCTTTGTAAACCTCCCATCTCCACAGAGCCTCTCAGTCTTATAACCGCAGCCCTGGAACCAGAAAAACATGCTGCCCGTTTGATTTTTTTCCACAGGAAGCAGAATGTTAACTCTCTGTCAGAAAACACCATGAAGTTCAATTTCACTGTTGTCTAAAAGATTTACGCTGTAATAAATACTGATAGTATTTGTGTCAGTTAGTGTTCTGCAGAGGAACAAAACCAATAGGAGAGAGAGTGGTGGGGGAGAGAATGTGGGGAGTTGGCTCATGCAGTTACGCAGGCTGGCGAGTCCAAAGTCTTCAGCGCAGGCCAGCAGGCCGGAGACCCGGTGTGGAGCCAATGTTGCAGTTCATCTGCTGATGGCGTCCTCTCTTGCTAGGGGATGGTCTGCCTTTTGTTTATTCAAGCATTTGACTGATCGGAGGAGGCTCGTACATGTTCTGGAGGGCAATCCGCTTTATTCAAAGTCCACTGATTTAAATGCCAATCTCATCCGGAAATGCCCTCACAGAAATATCCAAGAATAACATTGGAACGAATATCTTGGTGCCATGGGCCCAGCCAAGTTGACACAAAATTAACCATTAAGATACCATAAGCTGAATTTTTTTGCAACCCCAAGAGTCATACCAGATTTCTGAGGTAGCCACATGGATGGATCTAGGTGCTGTGGGAACCATGGAGATACTGGAGATCAGCATCAGGGAAGAAGGAAGGAAGCCTGGCCGAGGGGGAAAAACCACCAGGAGGACAGCAACGGTACCACTGGAAAAGACCATAAGAAGAGGGTTTTCTCTCGGCAAACTTAGAGACTCCCTAGCCCTAATGCTTTTTCTACTGTTCTGTTTCATAGATAGAAAGGGGGAAAATTTAAAGACCGAAGACCAGACAGGTGAGACATTGCATTGCTCTTCCTTGGGATATGCTTGTGGACCAGATTTCAAACAACCAAACCTTTGGGGCTGAGATATTTCCCCTCGTGACTCCTCTGTGTGGGGGACAGAGGCAACTGGCTTCGTGCTACGGGGACTAAAGCCTGTGGCTGTAGAAGATCTGCGGAGGTTCTGACCCTCTGGGAAGCAGCAGCAACCTTAGAGCGCCAAACACACCCCACGAAGGGCTTCAGAAGGGAGGGTTTTTAAAAAATTAATCCTCACCCAAGGATATGTTCACTGATTTTTAGAGAGAGAGGAAGGAAGACAGAGACAGAGTGAAAGAGCCAGAGAAACATAGATGTGAGAGAGAAACATCAATCAGTTGCTTCCCACGGGGGCCCTGACTGGGGATCGAACCCACAACCTTTTGGTGTATAGGATGACACTCCAACAAACTAAGGCATACAGCTTGGGCCAAAAGGGAAGTGCTTACATACATTCAGCAAACATCTCTTGTGCTAGGCACTGTTCTACAAGCTGGAAATGCAGCAATGGACAAAACCCACACAAATCCCTGCTGTCCCGGAGTTTACATTCCACCGAGGGAGGCAGACAATGCGCAATATAATGACATGAAAGTCAGCATATAGTATGCTAATGACAAATGCTAAAAAGGAAACTAAAGCAGGGAAGGGGACTAGGAAATGCTGGGAAATGGATGTTGCCATTTCAAATAAGTTGGCCTTGGAAGTCCTCACTGAGAAGGTGACATTTGAGTGAAGACCAGAAGAGAGGATGAGAAATGCAGACTCATGGGGGAAGGGCATTCCAGGCAGAAGACCATTTTTGTGGGTTGAATTCTGTCCCCCAGAAGACGTATTGAACTCTTAATTCCTGGTGCCTGTGCAATATGCATGTCCTTATTTGAAAATAGGGACTGATAAGAGGACACAGACACAAAGATATATAAGGGAGACTGCCACGTGAGGACAGACAGAGATGGGAGTGAGGCAGCTGCACACTGGGACCGCCAAAGATTGACAGCCACCATCAGAAGCCTGGGAAGGAAAGGCAGGCTTCTTATGGGATTCAGAGGGAGCATGGTCCTTCTGACACCTTGATTTTTGAACTTTTGGCCTCTGGAACTGAGAGAAGATAAATTTTGTTGTTTTAATCTATCCACTTTATGGTACTTGGTTATAGCAGCCCTAGGAAAAGTGTATTTGTACATTCCTCCCATCAGCCCCGCTCTCCCACGGGCTCTCTGAAATGACCAATCTCTTTCACACATCTGTGCATCAGTACCTGCTGCCCTCCTTGCCTGGGTATACTTCCTCTTCCCCACATTTATCTCCTAATAATGCCTGCCTATCTGTCAAGCTCCACCTAGGGTTGCTTCTTCTAGGAAGCATTCCCTATTCTCCCTTCTTCCTCTTCTGTCCACATCACGCAAAATCACACCCTAACACACACACACTTGTGACTTGCAAGGAGGGCACCTAATGGAGGTGTGCTTCTCGTTCTCACTGCGTATCATTAGAACTGTAATTATTTGCTTTCTTACCTGCCTTTTTTACTAGACTGTAAACATCTCTGTGGCAGGGGCTGTATCTTTTATTTCTACATTCCTGGCCTACCCTAGTCCTCATCTAAAAAAAAATTAAAATTATTTTTTAAAGTAAGTCGATGAAAACAAACCTTTGAAGCAGGGGTATCATCTCTATTTCTTCAGTTGAGGAAACAGGCTCAAAAACTTGTGACTTCATTTAAGGTCATGCAATTAATACAGAGCAGAGGAGGAGCTCAAAACTGATCTTTAAGCTTCAAAGTTGGACATTTCTTCTGTAGCTTCACAGCCATCGCAATTTCTGAGCTAGAGATGCCCAAATTCCTCAAAAGTAAGATGAGAATCAAGCGTACTCATTTTCAAGGACAGTTGTGGGGGGTGAACTGAGATCAGCTTTGGCATCACTCAGGTGCTGTGACCGCTGGTTTGAAGCAGTTCTCTGCAGTGCTGGTGAGGATGAGGGTGCCTCTCTGTCCTTCCCTTTTGGCCCTAAAAGGTTTCATCCATTGGCCAAGGAGGAGATCACAAAAAGGAGTTGTCTTCCAGGACAGAAGAGGCCCACGGATTGTGCCAAGAATCTTAGAATCATATTGGCGTGAGCAGAGAGTAGATACAAAGTTCATCTTGATCTGAGGCCCTTTCAAAGCCTGACTCCATGCTGTGACCAAGAACCTGGCCCCTGGAATTGAAAAAGGTTTGTTTTTTTTTTTTCCTTTTAAATAGGTTTTTTAATCCTACCAGAATGATTTGAAAAGCAGCCCTCCTGGCACTAGGGATACTTGCCTCTGCCATTCTGAAGGGAAATGATCTACCCAGATGTGGGCCTGACCAGGCTCCCTTCTCTATCAAGATCAAGACCTAGGTAGAGCTCAGAAGGGTCGAAGACAGCACATCCATTAACCAGCCATTTTCACATACTGTTCATGCACAGCATTTGGAATTGTGTGCAACACAACAGGTTGAATAACACTGGTGGAGCAACACTGTGTCCTTTCAGGATAATAAACATGATGGGGAATTTGCTACAGGCTGAAACAGTTTAATAAATGGGGCTGATCCAGATGTGAAAATGCTATGTGGCTTGGAATAGACACTGAATTATGTGAAGTATGAATTTATCCCCTTCCTGAAATTCCTGGTATACAATTTATTAGTCTCTTCTTACTAATTAAGTATGGTGTTCTATATCCAACCTTGGACTTCTAGGTAAATTCTGACCATTCGTTCATTACACAACCATATATTGAGTACCTGCCAAATGCCAGGCCATGTGAAGAGTATACAGGATCTAGGTTCTGATTCTGAATGAGGGAGAGGAGATCATTTTATAAAAATTCAGAGGGCTTCTCCATTTAAATGTCTTTGTGGGGGAGTGAGAATGTCTCCCCTATCTGCATGTGGAGAAAATAATTTCACGTAGAATGGTTTAGTTCTGCTGTTCACTGGACTCATCACTTCCTCCGGGCGTAGTTCAGAATTGGGAAGGATAGAGCAGCAGAACACGTTGTTATGGAAACTCAACATTAACACACCTTGGCTCCTTTGTGTCACCCCTAAATCACCTTTATAACTAGTATACAGTTTCAGAACATGGAAGCTTCTTTTAATTTCCGCACTGCCAGTCATAAAGCATTTTGCAAGGCACATAGAGAAAGGAAGGGTCCTTTGTGTTTGAAGCTATAAATGCTGTTTCCTAAACCACGAGTATGGAATCGGGGTCCAGACAACCTTATCTTATTCTTTTGTGGAAGATTTCACTTTCAAATCCCTTTGGCATGTTATCTCACTTTTTATTGCCACATTTTTTAAACTCGTGGTTAAGCAATCCAAAAGGGCAGAAACGAATGAATTTACAAACACTTAGTTATGCCTGAAAGTAATCATGTAGGGTGGGAACAAATATCCCTATTGTTTGAATGGAAGCATTAAGGTTCAGAGGGTTTCCATCATGTGACTGAGGTCACATGGTTAGAAATGGCAGGTTAAAGAATGGAACCAGGCCTTTAGATTACAAATTTGGTGTCATCCTGTTATACCTCCACTGATCCCCAGTCTTTTCAAGCCTTTGCTATTTTACAAAACTATAAAGCTTTTCTTGAAAGCTTTGCTTTTTAAGAAAACAGCTTAAAAACAGATGATATTGATCTTAAAAGAAAAAAGAAGAGTTACAAGGCATTAAACCTAATGCAGGGCCCTTCTAAGCTTGGGGCCTTGTATGATCCAAAAAACCCATGAAGTTGGCCCTGGAATTAGAGTTAATGTATATAAAATACTTTGTACAGAATAGATATTCATTAAATTGTGGCTATAATAATTGTACTAGTTTTCAATTGCTGCTAAAAAAAATATTACAAACTCAGTGGCTTCAAACAACACAAATTTATCTCTCAGTGCTATAGGTTAAAAGTCTTGTGGGGTTAGTATCAAAGTGTCAGTAGGCCTCCATTCCTTCTGGAGGCCAGTTTCTAGGAGCAGCCTGCATTCTTTGGCTCATGGCCCCTTCCTTCATCTTCGAGGGCAGCAATGTAGTATGTTCCCAACTCTCTTGCTTCCTAACTCATGCTGCCTTTGACACATTTCCTTCTCTGACTCTGACCCATTTCCCGTTTGAAGTAACTTGTGATTATATTGGTCCCACCCAAATAATTCAGACAACCGCTCTAGCACAAGATGCTTAATCACATCTGCAAAGTCCTTTTTGCCATGTAAGGTAGCATATTCTGTAATGTTTCAAGAATTAGGACTTGCACGTCTTTGGAGAATCATACTTTAAGCTACTACAATAAAAATGTGATGACGGTGATCATGAAGGTGACAACAGTGTTCACCCTTTTTGATCCTTCCGCAATTTCAGGATAAAGTCCAAACTCTTTTGCAAGTCATGGCTGGCCTATTGTGATCTGACCTATGCCTACATTTCTAGCTTCAGCTCTTCTACTGCCCCACATTCACAGAACATTCCAGCAATTCTTCTGCTGCAACCTGCTTTCACTTGCTGACGACCCTCTTCACTACTGTTGCTACTGCACGGAACATGCTCTCTCATTTCCCCTCTTCGACATCCTTCCTCCCTCTCAATTCTCTTTTTTAAAGTATAGTTGTCATATAAGATGATATTAGTCATATTAATTTCAAGTGCACAATATAGTGATTTGACATTTTTATATCTTACTATGTGATCACCCCACTAATTCTAGTAATGTTTTTTAGCACTAAACCCAAGTTTTCTTCTTGCAGAACCATTAATCCACCACTTACCTGAGATCTTGAGTAAGTTATTTCTCTTCTGTAAGTCTCAGTTTTCATACCTAAAGAATGAAGTAATAAAATATTACATACGTTATTGTAAGAATCAAACGGCAGACTGCCTGGCAGATGTTGAGTGCTCACACATAAATCATCTATATTTATCATTATAAATACTTCTTGACCATTCCCTCTAATATGATATAAGAACTTCCTTCTTTGTCCCCTTTAGCAAGCAGTGCACAGAAGGTAGAAGCCTTTACTGAAATTGTCTGTTCATTCTGCTGTACTGACCATTCTCTAAGATCAGGACCTAATCATTCATGTCCATGTCCCTAATGCCCTAGCACAGGGTTTGTACCTGTAGGTTAGCATTTATTGAGGTTAAATAGGAAAATAACTCTTAGGAGGACACATGCTAATTCTATTCTCAGAATATTTCTGTAACACATTCTTTCCATTCTGATCTTCCTGCAGTACCAGTCTAAAAATATTCCATCTGCTTATTTAAATAAAAGTGCATCATTAACAAAACTGACCCTGTTGTGCCAAATTTCTTCTTGTCTTTCTTTGCTCTAGCCACTTCCTCCTTTTTTCTTTCTACTTCCTCCTCGTAAAAAGTCATCACTTTCTGTGTCATGATCCCATCTTTTTATTATTTCTTAAGAGTGACTGTCTTTTTCCCAAAATCTGAGTTGCTGCAAGCGTTGCAGAAAGCTGCATCATGTTGCCCATAACAGGGGAAGTCCCACCCTTCCCTTTGCACCTTGTACTGCAGCCTTTAGATCACCAGGATATCTGGACCTTGACCACAGAGTCAGCATGTGCTCCTTGTCCCCTGCAGGTTACAGCCAAGCTAAAGCCAGACTGAGAGCTAGAGCATCCCTGTCACACACTCAGAAACTATTATTAAACGTGAAGTCACTTGAGCCTGTGTGCTCCTTGAGCGCAGATTTGAGGAGGCCATGGGGCTATCGAAGGCATTCATGAAGCCATCCACTTGGCAGGCATCACAGAGATCCCAAACCCACCCTTTCACTTGGAGAAGAGACGCTGCACAGCTTAATGGAAAGAGTGCTAACTTTAGAGTCACGACTTGGCTCTGAGCCCAGTTCCTTCATTTACCTGGCTGGCTGCTCTTTTGGCAAGCCACCAATACTTGTAAGCCTCTCTATCCTCAACTTTAGGGTAACATTAGACCTGGTTCACTTATCTTACAGGGTAGATATAAATCTTTTTTTTAAGATTTTATTTATTTATCTTTAGAGGGAAAGGGTAGGAGAGAGGGAGAGAAACATCAATGTATGGTTGCCTTTCGTGCGTCCCCTGCTGGGAATTGGCCTGCAGGGAACTGGCCTGCAACCCAGGAATGTGCCCTGACCGGGAATTGAACCGCGATTGTCTGGTTCGCAGGCCCGTGCTCAATCCACTGAGCTACATCAGCCAGGGCGATATAAATCTTTTTAAAGAATGGAAAAATACTGGTACTTATTGGGCACTAACTATGCACCAAGCACTGGTAGGTGCATTTTCCCCTATTTTATACACGAGAAAACCAAGGTTCAGAGAGTTGTCACATAGTTATTCTGCTAATACACTGGGAGCCAGGATTCAAACACAGAGCTGTCTGATTAAAAAATCTCTGTGTGTTTGTTGTTGCTTTTCATTTAATTAAACCAGACCAATACTCATGAATTATGCATGTGAAAACGTTTGGAAATAAAAAGTAAAGTTTTGCACCACACAGGAAATACTATTTGATAGGTGAAGAAACTGAGGCCCAGAGCAGTGCAGTAACTTCCCTTAGAAGCTACTGGCGTATTTTGAATCCAGCAAGTACTCAGAGGGCTGGCGTGTGTGCAGGTCACTCAGGAGTTAGGGTGTGGCTGCATCCAGGCGAAAGAGGAAAATCCAACGTGGCGGGGGCATGTGTTTAAAACTGTTTTCACATATCTCCCACTTTGTGCTGACACAATCTCAGTGAACTGTTTGGGTCACAAGCGTTTCCACATTCCTTGTTGTGGACACAGGAGGCCCTCTGGGACTTGGCCCCGGCATAAATCCCCAGTCTCACTGTTGCCAGGCCTCCACCACCTACCACCAAACTTCCTCTTCTGTCATAATGAACTACTTGCAGTTCCTGGAACACACCCAGTGGGTTGTGCCTCAATGCTCTGGTCCCTTTGCCTGGATGGCACTTCCCCTTCTGAGAACTAGTGATCACCTATACTCCTTCATGAGGACTGCTTAAATGTTGTTTCCTGAATGAAGTCTCACCTAGAGCTAGCCTCCCCCCATCTCTCCTCACTTTAGCTAGAACCAACCATGCTCTCCTTTGGGCCTCTAATATCTGCTCTACATAGTTTTGTACCAATTTTACTTTTTTTATTGTACCAATTTATGCAATAAAAATGTCCATTGCAGTGCACTCTCCCTCCTGGGACCACGCCCATGCCTTTCTTCCCTCTTGGGAGTGCATCTCCTGAACACTTCAGGGTCCATGCGAGATTGTAACCTGGGGAGCAGCGGGCAGCAGTGGCTCGTCTGGGGCTGATCCCCTGAACTTCTCCCCAAGGCCCCCTTTTCTCTGACTTCTCAGTGAGCCAAAGCAGCTCTGCCTAGGCTCTCCTGTTGCTTTTTGTATCCCAAGTCCTACCTCGTTTCACTGCCACCAGCTTTCATAAATGTACTCTCAAAGTAAAAAAATGTTTATTGCAATAAAATTGTTTATTTACATGTCTTTGTTCAACTGATAACATGTTAAAATTAAAACTACCGCATTTCTCATTTTATTTTTAGTCTTTAGCCTGTAGTATGGTGAGCATTTGGTAGCAGAGCCTGGTACCTTGCTCACCCACCAGCTACTCCCAACTTGCTTATCTTTTGCCTGCCTCTTCTGTAAAGTCTGGAAAAAAGTAAATTCTTTCTCCAGTCTCCATTACAGTTATTAGGGACTGTGTGGGAGAAAAATGGTATGGTTGTATAAATATATATATGTGTATATATTTATATGTATATTTATATTTACATACAAACATAGATTCATGCAGGGGATTCAGCACAAACAATGCCCCTTTTTTGTGAGTTGATAGTCTATACCAAATGATTTATTACAAAATCACAAGCATGTAATTCTGTAACATAACAATATCATACTCAAGCACACCATATAGCATTTTAGGTGAAATGTTCAAATTGCTGTCCATCTCATGTGAGACATTCACATACCCCACCAACTACACTCAATGGCGTTACTTTGGCCGGATCCATTATACGTAGGAACGTAAATGCATAGAAAAATGTCTTGAAGAAAGACAGAAAACGTTAACAGTGATTACTTTTGGGATATGATATTGAGGCACGGAGAACATTGACTTCTTATACTTTGTAAATTTGTGCATTGTTTGAACAGTTGGAGTGTATTACTTTTATTATGTAGAAAATAGAAAATAAAACCTCACCAAAGAAGATATCCAAGTGGCAAGTAAGCATATGAAAAGACAATCCACCTTATATGTCACAAGGAAATTGTAAATTAAAACTACAGTGAGCCCTGGCTGCTGTGGCTCAGTGGACTGAGCACTGGCCTCTGAACCAGTCAGGGCACATACTTGGGTTGTGGGCCAGGTCCCAGGTTGGGTGAGTATGAAGGGCAACTGATCGATGTTTCTCTCACACATTGCTGTTTCTCTCCCTCTGTTTCTTCCTCCCTTCCCCTCTCTCTAAAAATAAATAAATAAAATAAAATAAATCTTTTTTTAAAAAGTGAGAGAATTTCCATCCTGCAACCCTGGCCCAGTTGGTCCATAACCTCACAGAGAAGGCTGCAGTGCTGGTAAATGCTGCTGTGACTTACTCAAAACCTGCACTGGCCACGTTTTGGCACTATGCTAAGGTTGAGCTGATTCCTCCAACTTCTGCTGTGATCCCAACAGCTACTCAGAGCTTGAAAAAAATAGTTGATAGTGCTCAAACTAGTAGCTTCAAACAGCTCACCTTTAATGAAGCTCTGCTGAATGGTTTGGTGGCCACTGAGGTGTGGGTGTGGTTTTACGTGGGCAAGATCATAGGCAAATGTAGCATCATTGGCTATAATGTTTGAAGATCGATCTTTAATATCTATTTCTTTTTGGTTTATTACTCGAATGTTCTTGGACAATGAGTGATCAGAAAGGTATTTGAATTTAAAAAAAAGATATATTTTAAAAAAACAGTGAAATACCATTACCTACTAGAATGGCAAAGATCCAAAACACTGACAACACGAAATTCTGGCAAGAATGTGAAGTAACAAGAAGGCTCGTCCATTGCTGGTGGGAATGCAAAGTGCTACAGTCACTTGGGAAGGCAATTTGGTGATTTCTTACAAAAATAAACAAGCTCTTACCATAGGAACCAGCAATCACAATCATTGGTGTTTACCCAAATGAATTGAAAATTCATTCTACATAAAAACCTGCACAATGATGTTTAAAACAGCTTTATTCATAATGGCAAAACTTGGAAGCAATGAAGACCTGTCTCAGTAAGTAAAAAGATAAACTGTGGCACACTCAGACAATGGCATATTATTTGGTGCTAAAAAGAAATGCACCCTCAAGCCATGAAATGACATGGAAGAAACTTAAATGCATAGGTGAAAAGGCTATATACTGTGTGATCTCAAATATGACATTCTGCAAAAGACAAAATTATAGAGACTTTAAAAAGATCACTGGTTGCCAGGGGTGAGTGGGGAGAAAAGAATGAATAGGCAGATCACAGAGGATTTTAGGTGGTGAAACTATAATTGTGAACACATGTCACATGTATTTGTCAAAACTCACAGAATGTATAACACCAAGAATGAATCCTAATATAAACTATGGACTTGGGTGATAATGATATATCAACATAAGCTTACGAACTCTTATAAATGTACCACTCTGGTGCAGAATGTGAGTAGCAGGAGAGGCCATGTGGTAGGTGAGAGGAACTCTCTGTACTTTCCACTCAATTTTTCTGTAAATCTAAAACTGCTCAAAAAAGTAAAATCTATTTTTAAAAAATAGAGGTTAAAACAAATGACACCAATTTGAGACTTAGCTCAACATATTTATTCAATTTTTATTATGCCCAACACAATGGCCTGGGTACTATGAAGGTACAGTGGTAATTAAAACATAGTTCCTGGTCTAAAAAACAAACAAACCATAGTTTGTGTTCTCAAAGAGCTTAAATATAACATGGTGAAGATATAAAACTATACCATACTGTAAAATAGAATTGCTAAAGAGCTACGAAAAGACACAAAGAACTGGTTATGAGACTTCAGAGAAAGGAACGATTTGCTCTGTTCTGATAAGTGGATGTTAGAATACTTAACCGAAGCAAGAACATGTCAGTTAGGCCTCCAAATGTAAATAAGATTCTGTAGGTCAGATATGGTGCAGCAGGAGAACAGGAAGAGCACCCTAGGCAGAGGAAACAGCATAGGCAAGACATGGAGGCATGAAAGTGTATACTGATGTGAGAAATGGTGGCTGCCTGTGTGTCTGCGAGGGATACAGTGGGAAATAAAATTGGAATGGAAAAGTGGGATAAGTGTTCAAGATCTTGTATACTCCATGCTAAGTTGTTTATGTTAATAAGACAAAAAGAGTCAGCACAGGTTGGCAAAGTCTGGTACACCGGTTTGCTTGTCCTGCAGCCAGGATGGGATAAAGAGGCACAGGCTTCAGTATTCAGGAAGGATGGGATCTGGCACAGAAGCCCTCGGGAGCCTGCAGTTGGAGCTCTCAGGATAGAACCAAGACTGGGGTGGCACCAGCAGCCAGCTAATAACTTCTACTGCTTTTGGGGGCTGAGCAGTTCTGCCCTCCCTGCTCAGCCTCTCCCTAGCTAGGCAAACCTTCCATAAGTAAAAATCAAGCTTTCTCATGCCTGGTGTCCTCATTTAGGGTCACCTTCTCTGGGCAGAGAGAAGAGATTTATGGAGATTTCTGGTTTTTTTGCTCTTTCTCCTTATTCCCTCTATTCTAGTGGTTGAGCACGGCACCTGTCACTTGATCCAACTCTCTCTGATCATCTGTAATACAGGCAAAGCATTGGTACTTTAGAATCTCTCTAAATTTTCCTGATTTTAGTCTTCTAAGCTCCTGACCTTATGGTATACTATCTTACTTTTTCTCTAATGTTCCATTTGTGTCCCTGGCTGATTCCCAGTTGTTTCAAAATGTACTGGCTTAATGGCTTGGCTCTGCATTTTTCTTTCATTGGAACCTCACCTGAGAAGCCTAAAAATAAAGGCTTGTCACCTAATATGGATAGAACTCATTGTTCCAAAGCTATTTGTAACCTAATCAGGAGTGCACAATTTACAAACATTAAACAAAATGCAAAAAGTAAGGTATAGTGAGAAGAAAACTAAAATCGAGATCTAGTTCTAGCAGTCACTAACTGGTTGAAGGACCCACCAGGTCTCTGACCCTCAACTATAAAATTGGAGGATTGTTAGAAATCATATAGAAATCTATATATTATTTCTAAGAGAACTTAGAATTCTGTGACTAAGGACTGCATTGAGGGAGACAGGGGGAGATCTATTTGGGTGGTGTTTGTTGGGTACATTTTCCAGGGAAAAAATGAATTAAAAATGAGCCTTAAAGATGGATTGGATTTTTGATTGAAAAAATTGCAAACGCTTGCTGAGTTGGAGGTAAAAATCATCAGCCAGTGAAGAGACAGTGATGAACAGAGTGGTTTATAGCACAGCAAACACACTTACCTGCACGCAGCGGCTGGGAAGCGGTGGGGGAGAATTGGATGGGCAGGTTACAAGGATGCTGGCTGCAAGGATGCTGGGCAGTAGAGGATCCTTGCAGAGGGAAGAGTGGTCTGGGAACTGTGGGCAGGATGGACAGGAGGGAGAATATGCTGGAAAGGAGATGAGATTGGGACTGTGGTCCAGGAGTGAGTTAGGTAATCCGGGCAAGGGTAGGTGAAGTGTGAATGAAGAGGAAGTAGAAAATCTAAGAAGAGGTTGAATAAAGAGGGAAAAAAAGAGGAAGCCATCTAAGTTCTCCCCCAAAGGTGGAAGGTATTTCTTTGGGGGATAGTTGGTCTGCTGGGGAATTTCATAGACTCATTTTTAGACCTGAACATGTCTGAATAGTTTTACTGGAAGTCCTCTAAGATGATCATATCTCTGTAGGCAGTTAGAAATGAAAATATGATTGTCAAGAGCAGATATGTAGGGTTTTTAATAATGCACACTAAGGCAATAGTTGAAACCATAAAAATAGATACTGTGTATGAAGAAGAATATTGCAAAGAGAAAGCTACACAGATAAATTTTTAGAAGAAAAAAGGAATAATAAGGAATAATTCCCAGATTCCAAGTTAGCTTTCATTGTATTATATCCATCTCTTAGAGTGTTCCTTTGACTTGTCTCACAAATCTATCTACCTATCTATCATATATATATATATGCATGAATGTTAGCAGTCTTTTCATCTCTACTTGTATTGGTAGATAGATTAGTGTATACTCATACTTACACTCAAAATCTCAATGGCTGAAAATTAGTTCTGATTTACTCTATCTTTTTCTCATTTCAATGTACATTTTATTGGCCAATACAATAGAGAAAACCACAGAGCCACATCAATCTTCAAAAGAGGTGGCAAGTGCAATACTCCTGTTTGCATTAACTGAGAATAGGAATATTTGTGAGCAGTTCTAGCAACAACCATGATAACAAAAATATTTCCTCAGACTCCTTCTATCTGCAACCATGCCTGCTCCACCCTTCTATCAGTATCATCCTTAAAATGTTTCTGGTATCAGCATTTTATAACCAGTGGCAATACAGCATAATTCCTGTGTAAACGTGTTTCAGCTTCTTTTCTGTTTTCTCCTTATTTTGATGCCAACTATTCCTTTGGTTCCATGGTTGGCTCTCTTTTTTCCTTTCTTTCCCTATTCTTGAAACTGAAGACTCAAGAAAATGCTACACCTACAATCAAAACAATCTTTGCCCCTCTTTCTCCTCCCTCTAGTTCCCACTTCTTTCTTTCTCAAGAATCAATTACTTCCCTTTAAGCCCTGTCACACTTCCTTCTTCTACTTTCCCACTTCCTTATCGCTCAGCATGTAAGGCCACCCCAGAGCAAAATACCCAGCTGACAAGTTATAGATATTACTCAACCCACTATTCATTCTGTTCAAGATTAATTAACTGGTTGCCCTTGAGTTTCATAGCTTGTACACATCCCAAAATTGTTGACTTGATTAATTCTAACCAGAATTCATCTTTTTTCCATCATAATCTCATAGAATATTGCTTGAATTTCTAATATGATTATCACAGTCTGCTCTACCTGAGGATTATTTTTGTATATGCTCCATCACTAAATCGTGACACCCTTATAGTTTAAGCTGTGATCTGCTTGCACATAATGTACAGTCAATCATTATTAACTCGATGATGAATTTTATTTTTTACTTAACTGACCATTGGGTTTGGTAACATTTGGGTATATCTTAATTCAGCAAATGGCACTTATTAGACTCTTGTTTATAAGAGTCTAATAAGGGAACAGAAAGGGAATATGCAGTATTTTTCTATTGATGACCTCTTTTCCTTTTACCTCTCATGTTAGACTGTAGTATTATTGCTTATTTACTATTCATACTGCACCTACCTCCCAAAGGGATATGAATAGATATGAGGCAATAAATTGACTTATTCACTCATTCATTCATTCATTCACTGATTTATTCAGTAGTTGCCTAATGAGTGCCTATTATGAGCTAGAGATGGGAAAAAAGTCTAGCAAGACAAGGTAGCCTCTTTCAAAATCTGGCAGCATGTGGGAGGCAGACAAGTAAACAATTGCTATAGTGCAGTAAATGCTATGGCACAGAAGTGTCAAAATCACACTGGAATTCCATGAGCGAAAGGATCCCTGGAATAGCTTTGAGATTAAAAGGAGATAGGTAGGGAATTTAGGTGAAACAAAGGCTTTGTGAAAAAGAAACAAACATGCCATGTGCAAAGACACCAAGATAGGAAAAAGTTACAAGCTCTAGGAACTGCTCAAGAAATTTGATATGACTGA